CCGGCCAAGAGCTGCGGGTCCGGGCGCCGTGCGAGCTTCCTGAAGCGCTTTGTGGTCTTTTGAAGCGTTTTGACATCTCTGAAGGGCTTTGTATTCCAAACTCAATCGAGACGCTTTGTAGTCCCGGAAGCGCTTTGACATCTCCGAAGTAGCGCTGTGCAATCTGAAGCGCTTGGTAATCTCGGAAGCACGTTGTGGGCTTGGAAACCAAACCGAAGCCTTTCGTAAATCTTGGATCCTTTCGACCTCTCCGAATCGCTTTGGCATCTCTGGAACCCTGAGAACTGTGATGGGCAGTGCGAAGAAGGGGGAAAGGTCAGTAAGGCCAGCCCTGGCTCTGGCCTTCCGGCTTGCCCGCCCCCAGGGGCCGGGATAGTGGGAGTCAGAGGTGGGTACTCCAGGAAGGGTGGTGGTGGAATCCAGGCCCCCTCTTTCCCCTGCAGGGTCCCATGGCGTCGGAGCGGCGCAAGGTCAAGTACCACTGGAGCAGCACTTCGGAAGGGTGTCCCAGCAAACGCAGCTGCCTCCGGGAGCCCAATGATGTGGCCCCCTCCAGTCGGCCAGCTCTCAGCTCTGCGTCGCGTTCAGGAGGGGCTAGCAGCCCCAAGCGCCTGAAAGCCAAGAAGGAGGACGATGTGGCCTGCACGCAGAGGTTGTCCTGGGGCTCATCCTGCCGCGGATATTCCTCCTACTCCTCGCGTTCCTCAGGCCCAGGTGTGGGCGGGGCCCCGTACGAAGGCTGTCTGATTCGGAGTACTGAGGGCTTTCTTTCCTCCGTGGGATCCCCTCTGCGCTCTGGCAGCCCTTCCCTAGAAGAAATGGCTTCTCTAGAGGAGGAAGCCTGCAGCCTTAAGGTAGGTGGCTGCAAAGCCTTACAACCGGTGAAGCCCCTTCCACGTGGCTTGGGAGGTTGGGGATGAGAATTTTGGTGGAAAGACACTGTAAAAAAGATCATGTCACTGAAGTTTGCCCAGAATCTTCCCTGCAAACCCAGAAGACCGAGCACAGAGGCAGTTTTCAAACATGGTAGCACATTGGAACTACCTTTAAAATACTTGTGCCTGGCTCCCATCCTGAGGAACTGATTTAATTGGGCTGGAGTATGGTTTGGGCTCCCACATCACCGCAGAATATTGCAGTGTTCAGCCAGGTTGGAGAATCACTACTGTAGAAGGTCGATTGCGTGCTTAGGACACACAGATGTATTATATTTTAGTTGTAAATTTAAGGAATTGTGCCATTGATTTGAACCGTTCTGAATTATGAAACCAAGGAATGTGAATTTGGTTCTTGGTGTGGCTTTTCACCAAAGCTGTGGTTCCTATCCCATTGGAGTTTTGCTTGGTGGTGTGGAGGGGGTTGTTTCGGAGGTCATATGTTTAGTTCCTCTATGGAAACTCACAGAAGAGTTTGATGAGTACTTGGGGCAGGCTGGGCACCTACATTTCATCCACTCATTCTGTCATGCTTTGAACAAATATTGAGGGCCTAGTTTGTGCCAGGCAGCCTTCTAGGTGCTTGGGATACTCCAGAAACAAAACAGACAAAGATCACTGCCCTGTTGGCATTTACATTCTAGGTTTTGGAACTCTGGGCCTTCAAAGGTTGAAGAGGAGTTCTTCATGTGGAAGAGTAGGGGGAAAAACAAGCCTGTTGCCGACTCATGGCGACCCCATGTGTTACACAGTAGAGCTGATCTTCATAGGGTTTTCTTGGGTGTAATATTTATGGAAGCAGATTGCCAGGCCTTTCTTCCAGGGCCCCTCTGGGTGAGTTCAAACCACTAACCTTTTGGTTGTCAGCCTAGCAAACAGTTTGTGCCACCCAGGGGCCTTGGAGGAGTGGAGGAAGGGTCTTGTTTAGGGTGGGATGGGCTGCTCCTAGAGGAAGTTATTTTACAAGAGTAATAAAAACAGGCCAAAGGAGTATGGGTTTGTTTTTTAAGCCTTTGCTCAGTGATTTCTTAGGTGAGACTGTAGTTGGCTTTTCTTCCTGGGGACTCAGGCTAAGTGCCCAGGTTTTTTCACTGTGGACCTCACAGAACTCATGTGTGGGTACATGGATTTTTTTTATAGTTCACAATAAAGGTGAATTGAAAAACTCTGTCTTTGGCATAAGAAAACTGAATATGTCTGGGTAAATAGGGGCTTTGCTCATACAATTTTGTTAATAATCCTTCTTGATACCATTTCAGTGGACTTGAGGACAGCGTAAAATAATTAAATTTAACTTTAGAGAAGATTACAGATGGAGTGAAGCCTGGTATCTGGAGGGGCAGGAAATTTATTTTGCTTGGTCTTTCAGGTGTGCTGCATTCCAGCTCAGCCTGTTCTGCAGCCCTAGACTCAAGATTTCAGGGTGTGGCCTTTAATCTATGTGGGTCTAATCCTAGGCACCTTTGAGACATTAAGGCCTAAGGGGCCTTGTTTGCAAGAACCCAGTGTAATGGAGTGATAGGGGACAGTGGTGGTTCAGTGGTAGAATTCTTGCCTTCCATGTGAGAGATGTGGGTTTGATTCCCGGCCAGTGCACCTCATCTGTAGCCACCACCTGTCTTGTCAGTGGAGGCTTGTGTGTTGCTCTGATGCTGAACAGGTTTCAGCAGACTAGACTAAGACGGACTGGGAAGAAGAATAGCTTGGCGATCTGCTTCTGAAAATGCCAGTGGAAACCCTGTGGATCACAACAGTCTGATCCCATTGTGCACGGGGTTGCCATGAGTCAGGGCTAGACTCTACGGCGGCCAACAACAACAATGGAGAGATAAATAGACCAGTCCTCTCTCACAAAAGTCTTTGAGTTCCACCTGTGCCTTGCTTTTATTCAAAAAGTGTGTGAGGATTTTTGTGTGCCAAGCACTTTGTTGGATCTTGGAACGAAGAGGTGAAAAAGACATGGTCCTGCTAGTCTGGTGGGAGTACTGGAGAAGTCATGTGACTGCCCCACCATGGTGTAATGGAGCAGGGAGCTGAGGATGGAGGCTGGAGAGCTTGGGAGAGGGCAGGTTGCAGGAAGGTTTTATTAAAACCTAGGAAATTTTAATTTTATTCTAAGGATGTTTGAGTTTTATTCTAAGCCACTGGAGAGTTTATACAGGGCACAGTGGTTAAGCGCCTGGCCCCTAACCAGAAGGTCAGCAGTTTGAACTTACCAGCTGCTCCATGGGAGAAAGATGTGGCAATCTGCTTTTGTAAAGATTGCAGCCTTGGAAACCCTATGAGGACAGTTCTTCTCTGTCCTAGAGGGTCACTCTGAGTTGGAATTGACTCTACAGCAGTGGGATGCGGAGGGAAGGCAAATTTGCATTTTAGAAAAATCACTGCTGTTGAGTGAGGATATTGATATTATCAATCCTAAGAGTCCATGGGTGGTGCAAATGGTTAACATGCTTAGCTGCTAGCCAGAAGGTTGGAGGTTCATGTCCACCCAGAGGTACCTCAGAAGAAAGGACTGGTGATCTACTTCCAAAGCAATCATCCATTGAAAACCCTATGGAGCACAGTTTACTCTGAAACACATGGGGTTGCCATAAGTCAGAATTGACTTGATAGCAGTGGGTTTGGTTTTATTACATTCCAAACTCTCCCAACCTTTCTTTTTTTCCTCCCCCAAGTACAGTCCTGGTCTTCTCTACCAGGGTTGGCAAACTGGTGGTCTAGGCTGAACAGGGCGTGCTGGGTCCTCATAGGATTTCAGTTTTTGGAAAATCACATTAAGCATTTATACCCCAGCCTAAACCTCTACCTTGAACTCAAGACTTGGCTGACCCCATCCTTCTTTTCTGCATTTCCTGTTTTGTCTCCCTGGCACTTTTCCTTCTCTAACATATATTTCGCTTGTTTGTCTTGCTTTTCCTTTGGTTTTCCCCTCACTCACCAACTAGAATATAAGTTCCAGGAGGCAGGCATTTTTTTATGTTTTCAAGTGCTAAATCCCCAGCTCCAGAACAGTACCTGCTGGCGCATAGTAAGTGCCAGTAAATACTTGTCGAATGAATGAAAAATGTATTAAATTCTAGATTCCAGTTTTGCTTGAAAAATCAGAAACTTTAACTCTGGGTCTGTATTCCAAAATGGCACAACAGTTGTCTAGAAGTGAGTATCAGCTGCCCCCTTTAGAAGGTGCAGGTGCTTTTCAGTTTGCTGTTAACCTCACCATTCTGTGTTGTCTTACATCAGGCCTAGGAGGGCAAGGAGAGGGGCAGCTGGTCCTGTAAGCAGAGAGGGAGAAGCAAAGAAGGGCTGTTTATTGGGCTTTGAAGGATGAGTAGAAGTTTACTGAGTCTAAAATGGGACTAGGGCAAGGGTATGGCAAGCAGCAAAATCAGATGTGCCAGTTACAGTGCATTAGAGGGTGTGGTGGCCGGGGATTGCAGGTATTTTGTGTGCGAGTCAGAAGAGGGACTGGAGAAGTGGGCTGGGGAAGTTGGGGCTGTATCCTGTCAAATTTATCTTTATTATTTGTTAGATTTTTTTTTTTTTTTAATGTAGAAAAGTATAAAGGAAAAAAAAAAGTGGCTCCTAGTTCCTTTCCCAGATAATTCCTATAGACATTAAAAAAAAAAAAAAAAAGTCTGTCATGTATAAAGTTAGAAAGTTCACAGAGGCTCATAATGAAACTAAAAGCCACTGTTCCTGTTCCTCTCCCCAAAGTTAACAGCTGCCAGCAATTTGAGCCCTCAGAAAAGATATGACTATATTAACATCTATACTAATATACCTCTGGAAATGTTTGAATGGCCACCACTTCTTTTTTGGTACAGTGACTGAGTATTCCTTCCATCTTCTTTGGATGCTTCCTGTGTCGTTAAATATTTTGCCTGTAGAGTCCTTCAGTATTGCAACTCAAGGCTTGATTTTTTTTTTTCCTTCAGTTATTTCAACTTGAGAAATGCCGAGTGTATTCTTCCCTTTTGGTTTTCTAACTCCAGGTCTTTGCAGATTTCATTATAATACTTTACTTTGTCTTTTCAAGCCACCCTTTGAAATCTTCTGTTCACCTCTTTTTACTTCATTATTTCTTCCATTTGCTTTAGCTAATTGGTCAGTGTTCAGCCATTGCAGGAGGTAGCATATGATCAAGAACCAACGATATTGAAGGAAGAAGTCCAAGCTGCACTGAAGGCATTGGTGAAAAACAAGTCTCCAGGAATTGATGGCATACCAATTAGATGTTTCAACAAATGGATGCAATGCTGGAAGCACTCACTCGTCTATGCCAAGAAATTTGGAAGACAGCTACCTGGCCAGCTGACTGAAAGAGACCCTTCTTTGTGCCCATTCCAAAAAAGGGGATCCAACAGAATGCGGAAATTATTGAACAATATCATTAATATCACATGCAAGTAAAATTTTGCTGAAAATAATTCAGAAATGGTTGCAGTAGTACATAGACAGGGAACTTCCAGAAATTCAAACCAGATTCAGACGAGGACATGGAATGAGGGATGTCATTGCTGATGTCAGATGGATCTTGGCTGAAAGCAAAGAATACCAGAAAGGTGTTTACCTGGATTTTATTGACTATGCAAAGGCATTCGACTGTGCAGATCATAACAAATTATCGATAACACTGTGAAGAATGGGAATTCCAAAACACTTAATTGTGCTTATGAGGAACCTGTACATAGCTCAACAGGCAGTTGTTCAGACAGAGCAAGGGGATACTGCATGGTTTAAAATCAGGAAAGATGTGTGTCAGGGTAGTATCCTTTCACTATACTTACTCAATCTGTATGCTGATCAGATAATCCGAGAAGCTGGGCTATATGAGGAAGAACGCGGCATCAGGGTTGGAGGAAGACTCATTAACAGCCTGCGATATGCAGATAACACAACCTTGCTTGCTGAAAGTGAAGAGGACTTGAAGCACTTACTGATGAAGATTAAGGACTACAGCCTTCAGTATAGATTACACCTCAACACGAAGAAAACAAAAATCCTCACAACTGGACCAGTAAGCAATATCGTGATAAATGGAGAAAAGATTGAAGTTGTCAAGGATTTCATTTTACTTGAATCCACAGTCAACACCTGTGGAAGCAGCAGTCAAGAAATCAAAGGACGTCTTGCACTGGGCAGATCTGCTGGAAAAGACCTCTTAAAAGTGTTCAAAAGCAAAGGTGTCACTTTGAGAACTAAGGTGTGCCTGACCCAAGCCATGGTATTTTCAGTCACCTCATGTGCATGCGAAAGCTGGACAATGAATAAGAAAGACAGAAGAAGAATTGATGCATTTAAACGATGATGTTAGCGAAAGATATTGAATATACTGTGGGCTGACAGATGAATGAACAAATTTGTCTTGGAAAAAGTACGGCCAGAATGCTCCTTAGAAGCGAGGATGGTGAAACTTTGTCTTACATACTTTGGACATGTTATCAGGAGGGATAGTCCCTGGAAGAGGATATCATGGTTGGTAAAGTAGAGGGTCAGTGAAAAAGAGGAAGACCCCTCAATGAGATGGATTGTCACAGTGGCTGCAACAGTGGGCTCAAACAGCAGCGATTGTGAGGATGGTGCAGGACCCGGCAGTGATTCGTTCTGTTGTGCATAGGGTCCCTGTGAGTCAGAACCAACTTGACAGCACCTAACAACAGCATACTTATGTATTTACAAAGGTTTGATGTGTTTTTATTTTTTTTTTACAAAGATGTACTTCTTGGGAAAAAAAATTCAAGCAATGAAAGAGGTGTATAAAATAAGAGCCTTTGCTCTTTTCCTTCATTCCCCAAAGATATCTATTATAAACAGTTTATTCTTTCAGACTTTGCAAATATATACTTGTAAGACATTTTTTGCCTTTCCAAAAGAGATTACACTGTGCTTGTTATTCTGCTACTTGTTTTTTACTCTTGCTACATAGAATGGACCTCAGAGCTACTGCTTTTTAAAAGTTGCATGGTGTTTTATAGTATGTGTCTGTTTACTTCATTTAACCAACCCCCTACTGATGGACATCCCTTGAAAGAAACTCCACTTTTCCTAAGAGGAAAAAGATTAGCAAGGTTGGTGTGGAGTTCTTTTCCCTGAGTATATTTACAATTGAGAGAGGAATTTAATTCAAAGAATTAGAAGTGCAAATTTTAGGGGCTGTAGAATGCCTTGGGGTAATTGTAAATCCAGGTCACAGCTGGAGAGCTTTTGGGATGGTTTTTTGGGGGAGATTTATGCAGTGTTTTTGCACCAGGCTGGAATTAGAATGGATCTCTGAGTTTCAGGTTGTTGGATGCCGTTGAATTGATTTTCATCCCATAGCGACACCATATGACAGAGTAGAACTGCCCTATAGAGTTTTCTTGGCTTTAACCTTTTTTTTTCTTTTTAAATAATATTGTATTTTGTTGAAAATTTACACAGCAAAATAGATTTCCATGCAACAATTTCTACACAAGTCATTCGATGACACTGTTTACATTCTTCACATGGTGTCATTGTTCTTATTATTTCCATTCTATTCTGTTTTCAGTAACCTAGCTTCCCTGCCTCCCTATCTTCTCATCTTTGCTTTAGAGTAGTTGTTGACCATTTAGTCTCATAGAAATGATTTTTTAAAGGAGCACAGTACTCACTTGTGATATTCTTTATTTTATGAGTCAGCCTGTTGCTTAGCTAAAAGGTGACTTCAGATTCAAGGTTTAAAGAGTATCTCAGTGCAGTAGTCCTGGGGATTCCTCTAGTCTCAACTGGTCAGTAGGTCTGTATTGTAAAAAGAATTTGAGGTTCTGTTCTACATTTTTGTCCCATTCTGTCAGGATCCATCTGTTGTGGCCCTGATCAGAACAGTTGGTGGTGGTAGCTGGGCACCATCTAGTTCTGGTCTCAGGGTAGATGTAGACAATTAATCCTGTAGACTAGTTTCTTCTCTGAGTCTTGAGTTTTCATTCTTTCTCTTTTGCTCCAGATGAATAGAGACCAATAGTTGTATCTTAGATGGCTGCTTGCAAGCTTTTAAGACTCCAGATGCTACTCACCAAACTAGGAGTAGAACATAAACTTTATGAGCTAATATGCCAGTTGACTGAGTTGTCCCACGAGACTGTGGCCTTAATTGGCTGTAATCTTAATGGAAGCAGATCACCAGGTCTTTTTGCCATAGAGCCACTGGGTGGGTTCAAACTGCCAACCTTTCGGTTAGCAGCTGAGTGCTTAACTGTTGTACCACCAGGGCTCCTTTAATAAAGTCTGGCTTCTTCTTCATGGACTCCTGGAGTGAATGGGTGTGAGGGAGAAAAGGAGAGGGGCTGAGACTTCCCCTCTGTCTATGAGGAGATTCTAGGGATAGGCGGGGTAGGTAGTTAGAGTCTCTTGATTGACCCTAGTGCAGTCTTTGGGAGATGGAGGCACCTTCTAACACCAAGATTATGATTTAGGGGAAGGAGTTTGCAGAGAACTTCAAGGAGGCTTGGAGTATAGTGTGAAGAACACTGTACTCAGGAGATTGGAGTCTGCTGTTGTCTCTCCTTGGGCCAGCCCTTCCCCTCATAGGGCCCTTACATTTCTTTGTCTGTTAGATGTGGGATTGGGTTAGCTGGTCTCTAGGAACCCTTCCATTGCTAAAATTTTGAGCTTCTGTTTTGTCTGTGTTTGTTCTGAGATACTGTATATGATAGTTCTTGCCTTCAAGGACCTTGCAGTCCAGTGTAACTAGACTGTTAATTTCCCAGCTTATTCTTTCCCACTGCAGTATGAGGATATTATGAATAAGAAGAAATGGTAGAAATTCAGTGTCTTTTACAGTGGCAGTTCTCATTGTGGGGAGATGGAAACTATCACCTTGAGAAAATCATTGCCTTAGCCACAACACCAGTGGGAGTGTGACTTTTCCCTTTGTCTGGTGAAATCACCACTGATTTATAATTTGCAAAGTGCTTCATATATGTAATTGTTGTTGAGATAACCCTTTCAAAATCTGTTTTTTCTTCCAGGTTGATTCTAAGGATAGTTCTCGTACCCTCAAAAACTCTGAATTTGCAGCTGAAGCTGAGGGTCAAAATGATAGGACTGAGGAAACAAACAAGGTCCAGAAAAGGAGGAGGGAGAGGCTTCGAGACCAGGGCTCTACAATGATCTACCTGAAGGCTATCCAGGGCATCCTGGGGAAATCGATGCCAAAAAGGAAGGGTGAGGCTGCCACTAGAGCAAAACCAAGCACAGGAGAACATCCTACCCGAGGAAGAGGGCCATCCAGGAGTGTCATGGTCTCTGCTCCTCAGAAAGAGAAAGAGCCAGCCCCAGAGGTCAGAGCGGAGGAGGACATGACTGTAGTGGAGAGGAGTAGCTTCTGTGACAGGAGAGTGGTTGTGGACCCTCAGGAGAAACCCAGCAAGGAGCCACTTGGTGACCGAAGGACAGTCGTTGATAAAAGCTCTCCCCCACTAGAATTTTTGGATGAATACGACTCCCATTCAGAAACCCAGAAGGTGAGTGAAGTCCAGGCCAGGCATCTGGGTTTTCAGTTCTCTTGATTAAATCTGTTTGGTCTTTCTAGTTCGATCGTAAGTGTTATTAAAAGCAGTACTTTATCGGGGCTCCAGGAAGCAAATCTGTGGTTCTTTTCTAACATATTTCTCAGGGTTATTCATAAACCTCAGTTTAGTGCTGTGTTTTATATGTTAGGATATAGGTTTGGTTGCTGTAACAGAGGCCAAAGTAACAGTGACTTTAAAAACAAACAAAACAAACTTTATTTAACTAGTTTGGCTTAAAAAAGATGGCTCCCCAGTGTCAGGGACCCTGGTGCCATCTCTGTTGTTGCTCTGATGCCCCTCAACACAGTTTTCATCTGTGGTCTAAGATGGCTACTCTAACAGGAATCTGAGTACACTACATTTACATTTTGATCAGGAACAAGAGAAGAGAAAAGTGCGCTCCTTCCCTTTTAAGGGGTTGGCTCAGAAGTTGTGCACATCATGTCTGCTCACACCTCATGGACAAGAATCTAGAAACCTGGCCAAACCCTAGCTGCAAGGGAGGCTAGAAAATTAACCTTCATCTCAGCAAACTTATACCCAGATAAACTGTTGCTGTCGAAGAAGGGGAGAATGGTATTGGAGGGAAACTACAATTTTTAACATGCTTATAACTGGGGAGGAGAAGCATTCTGAAACCCATCTCTGCCCATCCTTTACTACTGCTCCTCAGAGGCAGACCTTTTATCTCTTCAGCTCTTTCTTCTAGTACTTACCTCCATATTTCTAAGTAATTTTGTACTATTAACTGATTTTTCCATTTTAGACATCTGCTGACTTCCTTCCAAGGAAGATGAGAATTTAGTTCTCTAAGCTTCCTTCAGCAGCACCCAAACCCACAAACACATTCAATTCCCCCATTTTCCAGCCTCCTTATGAGGTTATAAAACAAATTTTTACTAACTCAGTATTTAAGGTTCATGTTATTTTCACCATGTTCACTGCTAAGTTACCTTATATATTCTGATTACATTTCCTTTCTTGTAAAACTTTATTTTCCTTTAGTTTTCTCTGTACCTGTCACTAATTCATCCCTAGATTGCCAGGGCCATAACATTTTTCTCAACACTGTCAAAAGAAGTAATCTGTTCCTTTTGTTTTTTTCTTGGAGGCCTACCTCCTGAAGTCCTCTGATCTGGATTGTTTGCTCCTTCGACCAGTTGACAGCGGTCATTCTGGAATCCCCTCACCAGCTTGCTGGCTCTTCCCTTCACATCACTCCTGTGTTGTGTCTTCTGTTTCCTGTATTCTATGGCTTTCCATGTTTTTCTTTCTTGGTTTACTCTCACATTTAGGGGGAGTACTTTTTCCGGTAGCTTCTTGAGAAAGGTTGTGTGGGAAAACTTGTATTTCTGAGACTGCCTTTATTTTACCTTCCACCTTGATGACATGTTTGGCTGGTTTTGGAATTCTAGGTTGGAAATCATTTTTCTTTGGGATTTGGGGGCATTGTTTCTTTGTCTTTTACTTCCAGTGTTGTTGAGATGTCTGAAGCTATTCTGATTCCTGATCCTTTGTGTGTGTGTATATATATATTTATTTATTTAAATTCCTTCTCTAGAAACTTGCAGGATCTTTTTTTATTACAGAGATCTGATATTTCACATGATCACATCCATTATACTGGGCATTCGATGGGCCACTTCTGTCTAGAAATCCATGCACTTTAAATTTATTGTGGGAAAACTTCTTGAATTATTATGCTGATGCTTTCTTCCCGTATTTTTTCTTTGTTCTCTGTTTCTGGAGCTTCTGTTATTTGGATGTTGGACTTCTAGGATTGGTCTTTTAAATTTTATTGCCTTGTCTCTTTAATTTTCTAGCCAATTTATTGCTTTACTTTGTAGGTGCTTTCCTTATTTTTATCTTCTAGCCCTGCTATTCAGCTTTACTTTTCTGCTGTCATGTTTTTATTATCCCAGAGCTCTTTTGTTTTCCTACAATTCCTTTTTTATAACATCTCTGTTCTTGTTTCGTCTCTCATCTCTTTTCTCAAATTAATGATAGTTTTTATTTTCTTTAAGTTGTTTTTTTATGTTGATCTTTTCCACATTAGAGGCTTTCCTCATATGTGTGATAATCGCTTTGGTTGTTTACTTATGATCAAGAGTGAGAGGACTTGCTAAGTGAAGTAACTGAGACACAAAAGGACAAATATTATATGATTCCACTTACATGAAATATCTAGAATAGGCAAATGCATAGAGACAAAAGATCATTAGTGGTTACGAGGGACTGATGGGAGGGGATAATGGGGAGTTATTGTTTACGGGGTACTGAGTTTTCTGTTTACCAGTACCAGTTGCTATAGAGTCAGTTCTGACTCATGGTGACCCCTTGTGTGTCATAGTAGAACTGTGCTCCATAGAGTTTTCAATAGCTGATTTTTCGGAAGTAGGTCATCAGGCCTTTCTTCCAAGGTGCCTCTGGGTGGACTCAAACCTCCAATCTTTCAGTTAGCAGCTGAGCATGTTAAACCATTTGCACTGGTAATGAAAAACTTCTGGAAATAGATAGTGGTGATGTTGCACAACATAGTGAATGTAATTGTATTGAATTGTACACTGAATTGTATGGTTAAAATGGGAAATTTTTTGTTGTGTATATTTTACCACATTAAAAAAAAAAGTTAAAAAGCATTTTAAAAAAAAGTATAGGAGGACTAAAACGTTATTTGGAAGTTCTGAATGTGTAGACTTTGAACTTCACTAAAGGAGCCCTGGTGGCACAGTGGTTAAGAGCTCTGTTGCTAACCAAAAGGTCTGCAGTTCAAATCCACCAGCCACTCCTTGGAAACCCTATGGGGCAGTTGTACTCTGTCCTATAGGGTCGCTATAAGTCAGAACCAACTTGATGGCAACAGGTTTTTGTTTTTTTTTAATAAGTTGATTTGGGTGGGCCATTTGTCGGAGAGTATTAGAGTATTACCTAACCTCCCCCCACCACCCCCAAGCCATGTTACTGTTCTTAGGCCTTTCCTCTAGGACGGGTCATATTCCCAGAGAAGTACTTTATAGCCTTCTGCTTAGGACCAAAGCTGTCTTGGGAGCTGGGTAGGGAAAGGGTCTGGGGGCCTCAGCATTTCCCCCTCTGTTTGGTACAGTACCAGTACCCTCAATTGAGTCTAACTAGACCTCGTTCAGAGAACCTTCTATTTTACTCTCTTCAAACAACTCATCTTTTCTGAGCGTGGGCAGGGAATCTAGGGATCTAACTCGTTTTTAAATAGCTTTCACTCAGTGTTCCTCATCTTAACCTTCCCCTTTAACACCCAGTTCCAGAGGTCCATGGCACTGCCAATTCCTGAGGTGTTTGAGGGTCCTGCTGTGTGTATGCAGCTAGTTCTCAGCTGTCCGTCTGCTTTCTGGCCTCCAAAATGTGATTGCTGTAATCTCTTGTTCTTCCCATTATTGCGTTTTTGTTATGGTAGTGTTTTTTTTGTTTGTTCTTTAGTCTCTTTAGTTTTAGTGGAGTGTCAGAAAGGAGTAAAATAAAATGCATTTGTTCAAGTCATCCTTAGCCCAGAAAAGTTCTGGGAAATTTTGATTATTTCATAATTTATCTTCTTTTTCTGTTCCTTTTCTGGAATGCCTATTATTTTGTGCTTGATCTCCTGGATGGATATTCTAATTATTTTCTTTTCTCTCCAGTATATTTATTTTCTTTAAAATGTCTTCAACTTTACCTTCTAACATTTCTGTTGAATTTTATATGTCTAAAATTTTTTTAAATTTCAGAAAGCTCTCTTGTTTTTTAAATGACTCTTTTTTTCGTAGCCTCCTGTTCTTGTTTCTGGTTGCAGTAGCTTGATTTTGTTCTTTAAAGATATTAATAATAGTGTTTTTTCCCTCTGTTGTTTTTTTATGCTCCCTTAATTATTTTCTTAAGCTTCCTTCCTCCCTATCTTCCTCCCTTCCTTCTTTTCTTTGCTTTTTTAAAAAATTCTTAAACAAGAACCAGTTGCCATCAAGTCAGTTCTGACTCACGGCGACCCCATATGTGTCAGAGTAAAACTGTGTTCCATAGGGTTTTCAATGACTGATTTTTCAGAAGTATATCACCAGGCCTTTCTTTTGAGGTGCCTCTGGGTGGACTTGAACCTCTAATCTTTTGATTAGCAACCGAGTGTGTTAACTGTTTGTGCCACCTAGGGATTCTGAGAATTCTTAAAGTGAGTGTATATGAAGATAATAAATGCTTTTCTTTCCTTCGTTTTTGTCAAACTTAATTTCTAAGAACACTGTTTTGGTTATTGAGTACTGTATTTTTACACAACTGATGCGCGCCTTCTACATTTGTTTGCCAACTGTGCCTTCCCCCCGTGAGATATTTTCGTAAGCGCACTGTGCTAATTTTTTTACCCACTTACGATAATACCTTGTGGAGGGGGCATGGTTGGCAAACAAATGTAGAAGGTGCACATCATTTGTGTAAAAATATGGTATTCCTTCACAGACCATCCTATTCTTCTTTTGCGGTTGTAATACTTCCTCTTGTCTGAGAATATTAAGTACACCTACTCCTCACTTATCAACGTGGTTAGGTTCCAAAGATCAGGTTGTTGTATGAAAGTCGGTGTTATGCGAAAATGGAGGATGACCATATCGGATCACAAAATGGAGGATGACTACATCATTGCATAACTGCCAAATTGCATCATTACATAACTGCCAAACCACTGAAAATCATGGCCCAACCAAGCTGACAGATAATCTTAAACATCACAGCCAACGTTACTCTTGCCTTGCACCTCGGTGTTCATTATTGCCAGACGTACGTTGTTAACGTGCAAAATAGTCCGATAATAGATTTTTTACTATTGTCGTGAATATAGAATGTCAGAGAACAAGACAGTCGATAAGTGAAGAGTAGATGTATAGGTTTGTTTTGAAGTTTTCTGCTTTTTGCAGCATTTTTCTTCCAAGTTTCTTTTTTGCTAAATATTTTGGTTTCTTTCTTTTATGGTAGGGTTTTCCTCAGGTGTCTTGGCTATCTATTTGTATTTTAGGATGAGGCCTTAGAAAGCTGATTGGAAGTTCTTTGTGCATGGATGGGACTTACTATTTTTCAGCACAGGGTGAGACTTGGGTAATTTTCTGGGACCGCCCCCAACTGGATGTGTAGATGTATCCTCCAGATCTGTGAAGTCCCCCTGGGAGAAATTCTCCACTCTTCCACCTAGGAGACACAGGCCTGGCTGCTGGTATTCTGGGTCTGGGAGTCAAGTGAAGGGAGGTACCTGCGGTTCTCATGGTTCAAGATGTGATGCTGCCCCTCTTTGGCTATGTGTTGTCCCTGATTGTTCCAAAGCTTCCTTGGTTCAGCTTTTCTGAGAGTGGGCCTTGGTTTTTTGCTGGGTGAGGGAAGGGCAGACACATCTGTAGAGGGTAGGAGCGGGTATCTGGGGGTCTGACTTCACAGACTTTCAACTAATTCTCCTGTTTTCTTCCCCAACTTCACCTTCATTTTTAGAGGTCTGGTACCTCCAACTGCTGAGATTTTGTTGGGTCCTATAGTGTGATTCTGCCTGTTTCTGGGTTTTTGCTCACTGCAGGCTTAGGTTTTAGCCACCTGTGATCTGCTTAGCCAGTAACCCTTCATCTGTCTGCTTTCTAGCATCTGATTCTCATTTAATTGTCTTTACTGTTGTTTATTCTCCTGTGTGCTTTCTCCTTCCTCGTAGGTTTATGCCTTTTGAAATCTGTGTCCTTTTAGAATGGCTTTTGAGTGGGAAGGGCAAAAACCACATGTGCTATATTCAATTGGAAATTCTACAAAAGTAGGTTTTGTAACCTACTTTTTCCACTAAATATTTAGTGGCTGTGTTTTTTTATCTAATGTAAATCATCATCTTGTTCGGCTGCCTAGAATTCTATTGTGTGAATGCACTTTCCAAAGTCCTGTTTGTCAGGGTGGACATTTATGTTCTTGTCTCGGTTACATGTACTTTTGGAGGCAGCATGATATACTAGGTAGGCCACATGAGTGTTGGGGTCAGACAGTTTGGTTCAGATCCAGGCTCTGCCACCTGAACTGTGATCTTGAGAGAGTCACTTAACCTCTTTGAGTCATAGTTCTTCCTCTGTGTAAAAAGTGATGGCTCTTCAAGTGTTCTCAGCTCTTCAAGGGTTCTCACAGTTAAATAAACTAATATAGGGGTCAGTTAATTTTTCCTGTAAAGAGCCAGATAGTAAATACTTCAGGCTTTGTGGGCTATATAGTCTCTGTTGAAACTACTCATCTCTGCTATTGTAGCACAAATGCAACCATTACCCCCAAAAACCAAACTCATTGCCATCGAGTAGATTCCAACTCATAGTGACTCTATAGGATAGAGTAGAACTGCCCCCATAGGGTCTCCAAGGCTGTAAATCTTTACAGAAGCAGACTGCCACATCTTTCTCCTGCAGAGCAGCTGGTGAGTTTGAACTGCCAGCCTTTTGGTTGGCAGCTGAGCGCTTTAACCACTGCATCATAATGGGCATGGCTGTGTTCTAGTATAACTTGATTTACACCAACAGGTGACGCATTGGATTTGACTGTGCACCATAGTTTGCTGAACCTTGAATTAATACATGAAAACGCTTTGCTCAGTACCTAGTATGTAATGAGCTCTTAATAAATGTAACCTTAATTTAAATTTTACCATATGGGCTTGAACTAAGGCAGTCTTATTTGTTGTTTTATTGTCACAAAAAAATGTATAGAACAGAACATTTGCTAATTCAACATTTTTTACACATACAGTTCAGCGACATCGTTCGTCATGTTGTGCAACCATCACCACTATCAATTTTCAAATTATTCCATTACCATCAACAAACTCAGTACCCCTTAAGCAATTACTTCCCTTTTCCCCTCCCTCTCATTCCTAGTAACCACTAATAAACTTTGGTTTCTATACAGTTGCCTATTCTAGATATTTCATTTAAGTGAGATTGTACAATATTTGTCCTTTTGTGACTGACTTCTTTCACTCATCATAATGTTTTCAAGGTTTTTCCATGTTGTAGCATGTATCAGGACTTTATGGCTGAGTAATATGCCATTGTCTGTGGAATGTATACCCCCAAATGTGTACCACTTTCTATTTATCCATTCATTTGTTGATGGACGTTTAGGTTGTTTCCATCTTTTGGCTGTTGTGAGTAGTGCTGCAGTGAACATTGGTGTACAAGTGTCTGTTTGCATTCCTGCTTTCAGGTCTCTTGGGTGTATACCCAGGAGTGGATTTGCTGGGTCATATGGTAATTCTATGTTTAACCTTTCGAAGAACTACTGAACTGTTTGCCACAGTGACTGTACCTTTTTGGATTTTTTGATCATAGCTAGCCTAGTGGGGATGAAGTGGCACCTCATTGTGGTTTTGATTTGCATCTCCCTGATGACTGAAGATATTGAGCATCTTTTCATATGTTTCTTGGCCATTTGCTAAGGTGATCTTGAATAAAAAGTAATCTCCCATTTTCCCAAAAAGAAAACCTAAAAGCCTTTTATTGGCCAACATGACTCTATAAGCCTTTCAAGAATTTAGATGATGCAGTCACAAGTCTGTATGTGTGTATTTCTGGTTATATTGCCTCAGAGTACTTTTTGAGTCATCTAACGTGATTTCCTGAATTTTCCTGGTGTTAAAAATGGGGGAATCTGATTCTAGAGGTCTGGGATGGGACCTTGGAATTTGTATTTTTTAACAAATGCCCCCAGATGATATGGAATTTGGGAAGCAGTCAGAGGACATCATCTACTCTTCCATCTGAGTTGTAACACTTATTTTTATTTGAATTTTTTATTCTGGAAAATTTAAAACATTTATGAAAATATACTCACATACCCATCACTCATTTTCAGTATTATCAACTCATGGCCAAGCTTGTCTTGTTTTATCTGTATTCCTTCTTTCTTCCTGAATTATTTTGAAGCAAATCCTACATACCATATCATTTTGTCCGTAAATATTTCAGTGTGTATCTGTAAGAGAAACAGGGTTTTTTTTTAAACCATAACTACAATTTCATTATCACACACAAAAAAATCCTTAATAGCATCAAATAGCTAGTCAGTGATTAATTTCCTGTTTTTGTTTCGTGATTGTTTTAGTTTGAAACAATCCAAATAAGAGCCACATGACAGCTGGGAGCTCAGCTGGGTTGTAGACTGGTACGCCTAAATTTAACCTCTCTAGCAAGGTGGTCTCAGAGTGGTTTGACTTCTTATATGGTAGTTAGCTTCTTCCTCCAGAGTGAACATGCCAAGAAACCAGGCACAGCTCCAGTCTGGATCTGACCTAGCTGTGGCAGTTACACAGCGTCATTCTGCTGCATTCTATCAGTTAACATCAGTTAGGTTGGCCCAGATTCGGGGGTGGGTGGGTCATAGACCCCGGTTCTCAACAGGGAGTCATGTCCAAGCCTTAAAGCTGCCAGTGTTGTGGCTTTGCATTTTGAATGTATTGGAGACACATTGTCAGTGGTGAGGTGCTGGGCACTGCTTTTCTCTAAAATCCCCAAAAGAAAGTGTGTTCTAGAGAGCAGTTTTTCTCAAGCGGGATCACTTGTAAAGGGAGTAAAGGTATAACTGTTTTTAGGGATGGCATGAGACCTTGGTCACAGGGTCCTTATATGACCATTCATAGCTGTAACCTGCAGTGTAAGCTGGGGTTCGCTTTCTAGACATTGTAAGGAAAGCAGGTGACAAGATGAGCTAATGAGTCAAAACAAAGCCTTCACTGTGGCCAGAGAAACAAGCCAGAGTTTCTGTTCTGCTGATGACTGAGGATGGGAGGCTGTCTTCACCGTCAGGCTAACCCATTATATCTTTTTTGTTCTGCAGCAGAAAGAAAGGGAAGTGGTGCTAGAGCACCTCTCTTCAGGAAGTGATTGGTCAGATGTTGATGAGATCTCCACAGTCAGATTCTCTCAGGAGGAACCGGTCTCACTGCACCTCTCCGGAGTACCAGAGCCTTCGACCTTCACTACTGACTATGTCATGTACCCGCCTCATTTGTACAGTAGTCCTTGGTGTGACTATGCCAGCTATTGGACCAGCAGTCCCAAGCCTTCCAGCTACCCCTCCATGGGCAGCAGCAGCAATGACACATCCCAGGCTGGGAGGAGCAGCCGGAGCCTTCTGAGTGATTATTCCCCCAACTCTACAGTGAGCTCCCAGAACACCTCCAGAGACCTGGAGGTGACAGAGGAAGGCAGATCCCGGAATTCGCGTTCATTTCATTTCTCCAGAAGTTTGGAAGATGAAGAGATGAAGGAGAAACGAACATTCCAAGAAGAGACGCCACCGCGTCCCTGTGGAGAATACACATCTAGCTCCTTGCCAAGGAGCCACTGGGAGCCAAGCCTCGAAGAGGGCTTCATTGACACCCATTGCCACTTGGACATGCTCTACTCCAAGTTGTCTTTCAAAGGGACCTTTACCAAGTTCAGAAAAATTTATAGCAGCTCCTTCCCGAAGGAGTTTCAGGGCTGCATCTCTGACTTCTGTGATCCTCGGACACTCACGGATTGTCTGTGGGAGGAGCTGCTGAAAGAGGATCTGGTTTGGGGAGCCTTTGGCTGTCACCCCCATTTTGCACGTTACTACAGTGAGAGTCAAGAAAGAAATCTTTTGCAAGCCTTAAGGCACCCCAAGGCTGTGGCATTTGGGGAGATGGGCTTGGATTACTCTTATAAGTGCACCACACCTGTCCCAGAACAGCACAAGGTAATGAGCTTCTCTTTAGTTTGCTTATAATTTTAATTCCTCTTTTAGTTGTTGAACCCTAACATTAAGGGTTTCTCTGCTTTTGGGACTAAAGAACTTAGAATCACTAAAAATTTAACTTCTCCATCCAGACCATCTAGGTGTCATTTGTCAAATGTTTCACAAGGTATTTCTTATTTAGCAGCTCTGTTATGTAAGAGGCAGGACAGGTACTGTGTGACTTTTTAATGACTAATGATATAAATGTCAAAACATTTACTTTTTTTCCTTCATGGGAAGTGATAAGTTTTGTGTTTTGTTCAATTAAGCAGTATGTTTTCATTCTGGTTTTAAACTTAAATATGCTCATTGATAAAATTTGGAAAACAGAAGAGGGTATAAAGAAGATAATCTCTCATTCCACCATAGATAACCACTATCACCATTTTAACAAGTTCTCCTTCCAGTGTGTTTTGAGCATGGAGATTTGACAGGGTAAAAGTAGCTATAGCATTTCAGTGGAAGGTTCTGATTTGGGAAGGAGCGGTGACAACCAATAAGCATACAAGGCTTAATAGTTAAACAAGAAACAACTTTAGATGTTTCTGTCAGATGAATTAGCAAGGACCTGTTAACCAGCTGCTGTTGAGTCAGTTCCGACTCATGGTGACCCCATGTGAAACTGTGCACCATAAAGTTTTCTTGAGCATGACCTTTCAGAAGCAGATCGCCAGGCCTTTCTTCAGAGGCACCTCTGAGTGGATCTGACCACCACCCTTCTGGTTAGTTGTCAAGCGTTTAACCATTTATGTCATCCAGGGACTAAATTCAGAATACGGTGGCGTCTTAGTTATCTAGTGCTGCTGTAACAGAAATATCACAAATGAATGGCTTCAACAAACAGAAGTTTATTCTCTCACAGTCTAGTAGGTAGAATTCCAAATTCAGGATGCCAGCTCCAGGAGAAGACTTTCTCTCTCTGTTGGCTCTGGAGGAAAGTCCTTGCCATCAATCTTCCCTTGGTCTAGGAGCTTCTCTGCATAGGAACCCTGGGGTCCAAAGGACATGCTCTGCTCCCAGTGCTGCTTTTTTGGTAGCATGAGGTTCCCGTTTCTCTGCTCGCTTCTCTCTTTTATATCTCAAAAGAGGTTGGTTTAAGATATAACCAGATCTTGTAGATTGAGTCCTGCCTCATTAACATCATAGAGGTAGGATTTACTACACATAGGATAATCATATCAGATGATAAAATGGTGGACAGTCACACAATACTGGGAATCATGGCCTAGCCAAGTTGACCCATATTTTGGGGGGACATAATTCAATCCATAATACGGTTACAAGTTTACAAGTATACATTTTGACATAAGGATCCGTATTCAGACAGGTGACTAGGATTTTATTTGTGTGAATGTTTGCGATTTTCGACTTCATTTAATGAGTTTCTAACGTGAATAGTGTTTCTGTTCAGAATTAGGTCTGTCTTGTACATTAAAACAACCTCTTGCCTGTCCAGACTTCCTTTTCCCTACTAATTTAGGAAGCTTGCAATTTTTGTCTCGAAGTGGTAGTATATTAGAAGTGAAGAGAAAAATAAACCTAAAGACATAGGAAATAAATAGAATTTTAAGAAAGTAAGACAATTAAATATTTAATATTCTGTTTTCCTGACTGGTTTTTATGGCGCCGGGCAGGTGTGGTATGGAAGGAAAAAGAATAGTGCAGGAAGTCCCCAGAAGTGTGTATTGTTAGGTGACTGGAAAGAGGAAGAGGAGTGTTATATTTATTTGTGTAGCTGATGTTTGTTGAATGTCTACTCTGCTGGAAACGTGCTACGTATGTCACAGTAATCTTTTCATTTATTAAGTTATTATGGTATCAGATCTCTATACACAAGTACATAGGGCATACACACCAACAAGCTCAATTTGAAGTTGTAGCATGGAATAGATGATAAATGAGCAAAAAAATCATGCAGGTATCTTTGGCTTGGTGAGATAGGTCTGAAGACTGGAAAATGATAAGAGAGGTATATGCTATTCAGAGAAAATAAATTGCTGGTTGGGAGAGGGGAGCAGAACTGCATTTAAATGAGAAGAAAAGAAAATATTTCTATAGAAGAACTCTAGAGGCTCCTTAGCTGCATAGAGGAAGTGGATGCCATGTTCTTCATGTAAATCTAAAATCTAACACCAAAACATGAAGTGGTGGTGACGAGCAGCTGTGCGCTACCTGCATGTCTGCCCTGAGTTGCATTTGCCCAAAAGCAGAGTGACTGGCAAGTTCTTGATGTGTCCTGTTGAATATTTTATCTTGCAAAGGGAAGAAAAAAAAAAAGTCTGTGGAAGGGCTGTATCTGACCAAGTGATAGGGTTCTATCTAGGTCTGGCTCGTTATAAGAGAGAGCTTATTTCTTTTACCTAGTATTTTCCAAAAGGATTTGAAAATAGAAAAAGTAAAAGAATTGGAAAAAAGTCAGTAGTTATCCTGCTACCCAGAGAAAACCACTGTTAACTTTTTTTTCACTTATCTGTGTGTTCACAGAAAAAAAACGCCTAAAAATTAGGTCATGAATAGTTTATGTATAAACTGCCCACAGCAGCCAATAGGAAGATCAGAATTCCTTGGTATCTGGGGCTGGAAAGCCAGGAGCATGGACTGTCCTTCCCCACTCCGGCTGGCTGAGCTGTGTCTGTGCTGCCTCTGCCGCTAGTTGTGTTTGACTGGAATTAATTATTGAGGTAATGAGCATGCAAGAGATGCCCTGGGCCACCCCCAGGAGAGACTGATTAACTCTGGAATCCCAGGAAATAATAGATCAGTGGGGAACCTGAGCTGGTATAGGCAGAAGAGAGTAATTACGTTGGGTAAATAACTTATCTGTACTTCATTGACTCTTGTTATTTTTCTGCTGGGTTCCTGGTGAGTACACAGGCTCTTGATAGCTCCAATGCATAGCTCAGCTTCAAAACCCAGGCAGAACCTCTACCCTCTGCCCTCTACTCCCAGGACACGCCGTAGTTCTCATTCTAATTAATTTTTCTTCTATTTTAACATTTTTGAAATTCAGATGTGTTTACAAAGCATTATACGTTTATATTATTGTCTTGAAAAGTTACAAGGTGGGGTATCTTACAAGTAACTGTCTTAGAATAAAGGAAATGTGTTTTGTATGCACATGCTTCTTTTAAAAAAAGCAATTAGGAAATTTTTTTTAAAAGAAGTCATTTGAATATTATTTCTACTTGTGAAAATTTTCCTGTTTCATTAAGTATATTTTGAAGAATGCTTTTTAACAGCTGTATAATACTCCACCCCAAGGCTATAATAGCTTGTTTAGCTACCTTAAGAAATAGTTTTTAGAGGTAGGAATTAAAAGTTGGAATTGAAATCTCTTGAAACTTCCTGCCTATGTAGGAGTCAAAAGAGGGCAGATGAGCACTTAGCAGATATGTTGGCGAGGTTGGGTGGGAGGGGATGCAGCCATTGTTAGATATTGGAACTAGGGTGGTTGTGAGGATTCAGTGTTGCCATGCACACCTAGTGCTTTGACTACTGCTTGTCTCTAGTACACACTCAGTCTAAGTATTAGCTATTATTGTTACATTATCTAGTTTAAAAATAAAGAGTTGGAGACAGTGGGGTGCCCATTGGACTGGGTGTTCCGGAGTAACTGACTTGTGAAGTGGCACTAACTAGCAAGTGTTGTCACTTTGTTACCTCTCAGGTGTTTGAGAGACAGCTGCAGCTGGCCGTGTCTCTAAAGAAGCCCTTGGTGATCCACTGCCGAGAAGCTGATGAAGATCTGTTGGACATCATGAAAAAATTTGTGCCCTCTGACTACAAGATCCATAGGTTAGAGGCTGGAACTTCAGTGGGCAAATCAAATACATACTTCCTTCTGTTTAGGACATTAGTTGGAAACACAGAAACCCAACGAGGAGAGCAATGATAATACTGTGTCTTTTTGTAGTATTTTTTCTAAAGAATCATTAACTTGATACTTTTCTTAAAGAAGTATTAAGTTGAACCATATGAAATTTCTAATATTTGACCATTTTTTTACTTAAACAAAATGGCAACTTCATATGGTTTAAGCTAATACACTGAATCACCAATGTGCAAAAGGGTGCTTTAGTGGCCCCCATCCTGGGTGAAAGGCTGAAATGGAGTCTCAGTTCTCAGAAATGAGGGCTGCTGATCTTGGAGTGGTTGCTATGGGGTCCAGTAGCTTAGCACACAGAGAACATTCCAGAGCACCTGAAGAGCTGTTTTCTTTCCTTTTTTGAATTTGAAAGCTCATTTTCCCTCCAGCTAGCATTAAAGTCCAGGCTGTGTTTTATCTGCAGGGCATCTAAGGGTTCTTATGTTCAGTATGTGGGCTCCTACCATGTGCATGCACTAGGCATTGGGTTGGCTCAGGGGACACGCTAGAGGGACTGTGGGGCTGTGGTTTCAGCGTAGAGTACGGGACTGAGGTGTGCATGAGGTTCTGTGGAAGGCAGAGGAGGGGTTGTTTCACTGAGCCTGGCTGGGGAAGGGGTCAGAGGGTTAACTGAAAAAACAGAGAGTCTAGAACCCAGACCAGGTCTTGACAGGTGGCAGAAGTGGGAAGGGCTGTCAGGCCTCCATGCCACTGCATTTGGGTGTCTAGGCAGAGAGTGTGCAGCCCTGGCCTTTGACTGTGGTGGCACAGTGCCAAGATGAGACACAGGCACTCTATCCTTCTGAGGCTTTTCCACTGCTTTATTTTGGGCTGACTTTAAAGGGAGTCTAATGGGTAGCACGAGGTGGTGTGGCTGGAGGAAGCCCTGAATCTTCAGATTAGTTAACAATACGTATTGTACCACGAACATGAATGAGCAGGTATCAAGAGAAGAAAATTCACCTGTAGTCGCACTCCCCAACATTTATTTTTTGCTTCCTTCCAGTTCATTTGACTACAGGGACATAATTTCTACATACTGTGGTTGTAATTTTAGAGGGGGCACAGTTTTTAATTCTGCCTTTCTTTTAATGTTATAAGCATGCCCTACCCCGTGTTGTTTCTCTGTGTTCTTCATGGTGACTGCATCATATTCTACAATATAATATGTTAATTGGTGAGTGTCATCACCCAGCGTCATAGTGGGTGTTATTCTGTGGCAGCCATTGCGTCTCTGTGTTTATTGTGGAGTCCTTCCCTTGGATGCAGTCTTTTCTATTTCTGGGAATTTATCCAAAGAAAATTATTTCAAAGGTTAATCTGTCTAGAGGGAGTTGGAGGGTGCTGCAGAGGGAGCCCTGATCTGGAATTCTCTTCCCTCAGGCATTGCTTCACTGGCAGCTACCCAGTCATCGAGCCCCTGTTGAAGTACTTTCCCAACATGTCTGTGGGCTTCACGGCAGTCCTGACTTACTCTTCTGCCTGGGAAGCCCGGGAGGCTCTGAGACAGATCCCGCTGGAGAGAATCATCGTGGAAACTGATGCTCCCTACTTCCTCCCTCGTCAGGTAGGGGAGTCTTCAGGCTGAGTTGGTGCACTGAGGAGAGAGGGTGGGGAGGTGGGCGGGCACCTTCACAAGGCTGGCCGGGCCAGAGCCCCAGTGACATCCAGAGCCCACCCTCGGCCATGTAGATGTCTCCTTGTTGTTGCTCTGCAGAACCACGAGTCTAGGGGGACGAGAAGCTGAAGGGTAACCACTCTCTTCCAGGCAGTGCAAAGCCCTACCCTGTAGAGGGTAGTCCAAGGAAGCGTGGGACCCTGCTCACCCAGAGCCCCCCATGACTAGGACTCTCCCTGCACCTGCAGGTAAAGGGGTCTCTACAGGGCAGTCCCAAAGAGGTCCTTGCTGGGGAAGGGACAGGGAGGGAATTCTGTGTCACGGTTGTGCACAGAAGACACAGTGATGTTCTGAATGCTTGATGTCTTCCAGGTTCCAAAAAGCCTTTGCCAGTACGCCCACCCGGGCCTGGCCTTGCACACCGTTCGAGAGATTGCCAGGGTCAAAGACCAGCCGCTATCCCACACCTTGGCCACCTTGCGTGAGAACACCAGTCGCCTCTACAATCTTTAAAGAGAGAGGGTGCAGTCAGGAGTCTCTCGGAAAAGGTCATAACATTCACATTATCTGTTTTTTAAAAATCAGGACGAAAATGTCTTTTGCTGCGTTTTCTTAATATAGAGAATGTAAACATAGGATGAGCATTAAGCATGCTTTGTCTTACGTGAACTTGGTTTGGAACCTTCTTCCTTTTCTCTTCCAAACTCTCCAGGGAGACCAGCAGCCTGACAGAACACAGGCTGGGTTTGAACTCTGCCTTGTGTCCAGGTCAAGGATGTGTTTGGAGAGCCCATTGGAACGGAGAAAACCAGGACAGGACGTTTTCCTCAAAACCTCTTCATAAGGCTTCTGCTTCTGGCTGGTGGGGTGGGTGAGGGATAAGGGGAACTGCCCTTGATGTCATCAGGGTTTTGCCTTCTAGCGAAAATGCTCCAGGGTAGTCAGTGAAGAAGAAAGAGTCCAGTACAAATATACAACAAGTTTGCCAATCTAAATCCCTGTTCTCTGCAACCTTTGTGTTTGAGCAGTCTGTGAATAAAGTCACCCTCCTACTTATCCAAGCACATGTGGGTGTGTAACTCAATTCCTGGCTCTCAAGTCTCAAAATGAACTCCCAAGTGGGATAATCTCTTGGGGGAAATTCACTGGATACCTGTCTTCAGAGGTTTATATTTTTGCAGCCAGTGAAATCATCTCCCTTCCTTCCCTGGTAACTCCTTGATGTCATTGTTCTGGTGTCAACGCCAGCATAGCAGAAGGACTTGGCTGCTGGTCTCAGTGGTTTCACTGCCCACATTGTGGAGATGGGGAGAGGGGGTGCTCATTGCTGTGACCTGGCCAATGGAGATCCAGAACAGATTGGGGGACTGAAGGAAGAGGACCCCAAAGGAGGTATTCCCTACTTACTGAAGCTCCCAAGGCCGCTATTTGGGTATTGTAAACTCGTAAGTGTTCAGTTTGCAGCAAAAGCTACCTGCTAGTCGTGTGTCAGAGGTCCCAGCCTCTCTCTGTTCCTTTTTTGCCCCCTTCTCCTGGAACACTGGACCAAAAATACTCCTGTTTCATCCCATGTAACAGCCCCTCATGTGTCCCACCCAGGTTGAGAGGTCAATCAGTTTAATTCTTCAAAGCTCTGCTGGGGCAACGCAGCCACATCATATTGCTTATGTAGAACAAGCAGGCCCAGTGTCTCTAAACATCTCAGTCCCCCTCTGGCCTCTCTTGGTTGTCCCCCTCACCTTTGCCTACTCTTTGTCCTGTCTTTCTCTGAGCGTTAGATTTGAGAGCCTCTCCTTCGACTTTTGAGCAACCATGTCATCTCAAGTTCTGAGTCATGCCCTGCTCCCTGCTGGTGCCTTTTAAAGGTGTATTCATTACAGACCCTAGAAGGTGTAATGGTTAAGGGTGAGGACTCTACACTTTGTCCAGAAGGATCCTTCACCGTAATCCCCTGCAGTGAGACACACAGGCTAACCTGGCTCCCTTGTTTGTTTCTTAGAGGCCAGTAACCCACATAGTAAAATCTGTCATTTACAGTGGATTCCTCCAGGTGTCCTTGAAAGATACATTCAAGTCTTGTGAGCTAAAATGGGGGAATCCCTGGGTGGCACAAATGGTTAAGGACTTGAGTACTAGCCTTTTTACAACTAGCCTGTTGGAATGTTAGTGATTCAGACTTACCCAGCGGGGCCTCAGGAAACAGGCCTGGCTGGTGATCTGCTTCTGAAAAGGTGACAGCCTTGAAAACCCTGTGGAGCAGTTATTCTGCACATGTGGGGTTGCCATGAGTCAGAATCAACTCGATGGCAACCAACAGCAACAAGCTAAAATGGAACAGATTTATTATTTCATATCTGGTTATTGCCATCCTGTCCCTGGAACAAAACCCTGGCCTGGGAGTTAGGCCTTGATCACTGTCATTCTTCCACAGATCAGCTGTACTGTTATCTTGTCTGTACCTCAGATTTGCCAGTGTGGGCAGTCAGGTGGGCTTTGTTCTCCTGCTTGGGAGATTAGTAGATTGCTTACTATTTCAAAGTGCAGTATTGTCACCCAGGTCAACTGTAGCATATTCATCTTCTCCACAGCAAACTGTATAGGACAGTACTGCCTGTCCCTGAAACCAGCTTGTCCTGGAGGATTAAAAGTGATGACTAAGTGGATGTCTCCGATCCTATGCAGCCCTCTTTCCAAGGGTTGTCATTCATGTGCTGTTGCACAGTGTGACATGACCCGTGTGGTGTGAAAGCTACTTGGCATTATTTTTATTCCATTTTTGGGTGGCTGATTTGATTGTTTTTGCTGTGCTGCTGGAATGCCTCTGTATTTTCCACCTCTTTTTAGCCATCTTCTGTCCGAGTGTGTTTAGATTTTTCTGTGTGATCCAGTGGTTTAGTCTGGTTTTTGGCCAGCTTTGTAACCTGACAATCCAAATGTCTAGAGACATTCTCAAGTACACATGTGTCTCTCTAAAACTAAACTGTGTATCTAAGAATACACAGCACTATCTTAAAAATTCTACTGCATTTGAGCATTAACTCTTATTTTACTGCCTGGGAACTTGGACGCACTGCTTTTTCTCAACCTTTGTAAAGTGCATAGGTACCTTCTTTTTTTCCCAGAGCAATGCAGGAGGAGGAAGAAAAGTCAAGTGTGTGGGGGTGTTGATGAATCAGTTGTACTGTGGGCTCTGGACAGTGAACTCTCCTGATACCTCCTGGGTAAACTCTGGAGGGAAGTCCCTCTCATTACTTGTGGTCCTTCCTCAATTTTGTGCTGAGTTACTCTTGAAAACTAGTGCACAAGCTGAGAAGTAGACCTACGTGTAAAAAGGAGGGCTCTATTCCAAAAATGTAAAACAAATGACAAATCCCTGATGATGCCTTCTCTGTTAGACACAATCACTGATTATGTATTTCCTGCGTATTCCTTAATTTGTTTCATTTCCTTCCCAGTTGAACACATCATTGACTCCATGGTAGTCTGTTTGTGGCTAAAGATCTGCTCTGTTTGACTTTTCTGGTGTTTCCATCTTTCTCTCTCTATTAAGTTTGGGGCTGATGCTAATTATTTATTGTCAGCGCTTTCATTTTTGCATGACTCGTTTTTATAAAATAAGGACAAATGGCCACTGAAATACACAGTGATTGAATAAGCAAACTGTCAAATGAAGATGGCAGCCAGACTGCTGATTAGTGGCCAGGCCCACCCACGATCACTGTTAAATGCTCATTTGTCAGTGATGTTTGACAGTGGGTTCAGACCCAGGAAGACTCTCTTTACGTGCTGTCATTGGAGAATTTCTGAGTACGCACCTATAAGTATATAATAAGTTACATATTTCTACTCCTGTACTAATGCAGTAGGTACATTATACAACCCAATATAGAAGTTTCTTCAAAAGGAGAATTCTTTTCTGCAGGCAAATATCTTGCTCATTCCTGGGGTACATACACCCTACTTCAGAGACCCTTAAGTTATTAGGGTAATTTAATAGTGCACGAGAGTGCAGATTTAAGAAAGCTGACATAGGAACAATATGGTTGAAATGCTACATTTTCTCAAGTTTGTCCCGTTTCCTTTGATAGTCTGTTTCTGCCAAATGTTGAGTTGTGACTGCCTTCCCCTCCCCCAGTTGACCCAATATATTATGAAGGAAATGAAAAAACAGAAACAAGAAGTCCCTAGGCAGTAGGACAAGGGAGTAACATTGATTGAGAGGCAGGAGAATATAGTGGAAAAGCATGGACTTAATACTACTGCCCTGGTTATGAATCTGCCAAGTATTTGCTATAGGACCTTGGGAAGTTAGTTTCTCTGAACTTCCCTCTTTTCCCTCCTAAGTAGGCTTGTGAAAATTAACTGAAGTTACGTTCATCTATATTAAGTGTTTAGAGCAGTGCTTGGTGCACAGCAGGAAGGTAGTAAGTGATGGCTGTTACAGTCATTGAATGTCAGGCCCTGTGCCAGGTGTCCCCATGTGAAATACCTTGTTCAGTCTTGACAATAACCCAGTGAGGTCTGGGTGTTTTATATGTGAGGAGATCAAGAAATGCAATTATCTTGGTCTGAACCGTACAGCTGGTATTCAAATTCAAATGTTAATGTGCATTTTTAATAACTTGGGGATCTGGTCTAGTAGGGCTGGGATGGGGCTCGAGGTTCCACATTTCAAAGAAGTTTCCAGATGATGGCGATGTTCTGTAGACTATAAGCAGTTCATAGGTCAGGGATGGCAGTTGGGTGTGAATGAGCCTAGAGGGTTAGTGCCTGTAGGGCTGTGCTGTGAGTGCCAGGTGGTCATAATCTTATTTAAGACACTTGGTCCCCTACAGCCCTCTGGTAATAGGGGTTTTTCCAGAGTGTGGATGTTACACAAACTCTGTCTCTGCAAAGGGGTTTCCTACATATTTCTGATACGTTCATTTGTCTGAATTGGCAAGTTAGCAGTGCTTATCCTTGTGGCTTCCTTGTTTGTCTTTTCCTCTCCTTAGTGATGTACCCCCATGCTTCATCACCAGCACTCAGACATGGATTAGTTCACAATAAGGTGTAAATGATATGGGACGTTCCTCTTAGGAGAACTGGTGTCTAACTGAAATTGAGTTGTGGAACTTAAGGATCAGGCCCATCTCAGCTGTGGTGTGGAGTTGGGGGAAATGTTTTGGGATACCTACCTGGTACCTCTGAAGTAACCAAGGCAATGGCTAGCCTTGCCCACATCAGGAGGGCTTCTGCTTTAGGAGGCCTTTTCAGTGGTGGACAAGGTAGAAGGAGAAATGTAGTTATTTCAACCCTATCTAGCACTGGCTAATAACTGTTGTTATGTGCCCCGCTTAGGTAGAACTTCAGATTCCTTCTTCGGCATTCCCACCATCCTGTTTTTAATCATCCCATTGACTAGTCTTGAATGGACTTTGGCTCTGATAATGTCACCTGAAGTTTCTCTGTCCACACAGTCCTTGCTGATTGTTCATGAGCTCTAAATAACAACTTTGTTGCTGTTGGGAAGCGCTGATATTTAAAGGAACTGTCTTTTCTTTCCCTTTTCCTTCTTCCTTCTCCCTCCCTCCCTATTTTTTCTTTCCTTTTCCTTTCCTTCTGTTATATATTCCCACAATAGTTTTATCTGCTGATATGTGTTGGTTTAATTTGGTTTTCTAAGCATGCACACCTGCCTTGCTACGTGTCCATTTTTTCTCTTCCCATTTATCATAGACCAAGAATTTTTCTTTTTTTTAAGATTAATTTTTTTCCATGAAATGTGAAATTTCCGCTTTGGTGAAATAAATTCCCATTTTGAACATTCAGCATACAGTTTGAATATTTATTTACTTGCTAAGCTAGTACAGGGGTTTGTTGCAAAAGCAACCTAACAGCAAGATGAGAGCCGCTAAGATTGGGAGGAAAATGAAGAGGTGGGGTCAGCCTTGGGGATGATCACTTGTCTGCCGGGGCCTCTGAAAAGAAAGAGGTCAAGTCAAAATTCTCTCATCCTGCCAGTGGCCCCAAAGATGGTTTTTCTTCCACAACGACAATGTTGGAGGTGACGTGTTGTAATGGGGGGTTGGGGTGGGGGCATTGGCCTTGGAGTTGGAAGATTCCAGGGATTTGAGTTTGTACTGTGACTGGGCAAGGCAGCTAATAGCTCTGAGTTGGTTTCCTTATCTGCCTAGCTCATGTGGCAGTATGATGGTGGGCAAGGCCATGTTGGTGAGGAAGTGCTTTGCATATTGTAGAATGCACTTCCAGAGTTAGGTGTTTCTGCCTCTTGAATCAGGAAGAAGTTGAGTGATTTCTTCAGGCAAAAGGGGATTCAGAACAAAACAGACCTTTGCTTGGCTGTGGAGCCTTGTCTGAATGTTGTTGGCTCTAATTCCTCTTTTTGTGAAAGTTACGCAGTAAAGATACTTTCACACCAAATAACTTCTCCTCTCACAGTGGGTGTTAGCTCCATTTTACAGTTAAGGAAATTGGGGTTCAAGTGGGGCCCCAAAGTTAGTTGATGTACTAGTTCTTAGAACACAGTGCCCTTTGAATATGGAGACTCTGCTTAGCCTTCTCCTGAAAAAAAAACCCAAAAACGAAACCCCTTGCCGTCAAGTCAGTTCCAACTCTTAGTGACCCTATAGGACAAAGTAGAGCTGCCTCATATGGTTTCCGAGGAGTGCGTGGTGGATTCGGACTGCCGACCTTTTGGTTACAGCCATAGCTCTTAACCACTACACCACCAGGGTTTCCCTGAGCCACTCACAAATGACCAGTCCAACCCCCTCCTCCTGCAGTCATTGGGAAAGAGGAAATTGAAGCTCTGTTTGTGAGGCAGAGGTGGGGGAAGAACACTGCAATAGGCTCACATTTGGGATGCCACAGAAACTCTGAATTGGCCTCACCCAGGCAAGGGCTTACCTTTGGCCTCTTCCCAGAGGATGTCCTGAAGGAACTTCCCCAGGGCCCGGCCGTGCTGCTGGTACTGAGCCCCTGACAACTTGATCCCAACGTCAAAGGGGGCGTTGAACTAGGAGGTGGGGCAAGGAGAATGCAGTAGGCATCAGAGCTCACAGAGCCTACCCCTGCCCCCAAAATACACCACTATCCCAAAGGAGGCTCTGGACTCCCAGGCTTTCACTCACGAGGGTAGAGAGGGAATGGCCTTTGGTCCCTGGCAGGTACCATGGAGGGACATCCCTGCCTTCTTAGGCCCAGGTCTCACTTCCCCTCTCACATTCTTTAGGACACTTTATAGTCTCCTTCCGTCTATCTTATTGTCAGCCTCTAAGGAGGTTACTAATAAAAGTTTTGGGCTTCCCTAGATCAACCCCCCTTCCCACCTTGCAATTCTGGAAGACAGAAGATTGACTCGCCAATGGTGGAATTTTAGGCTCTGGCAGGGAGATTTGGGGGCGGGTGGGGAGGGGGACGGTGGTCATTAGGTCTACTCAATGTATATTGCACTAGCCTGCGTGATGGTCGCTACCCCTTCCTCTTCCCTTTCCCGTCTCCTTTCTCCTTTATTTTTCCTCTTCTCTTTCTCCTTTCCCAGATGTTCTTCCTCTCATATATGCAGGCCTTTCTCGGGTCTGTGAGCAGACAGGAAGCTGACATTTGCCTAGAAAGGTGCTCTAATCCAACTCCTTTTTGTGCCTGTGTTTCTTCCCTTCTGTAGGGAGAATGTCCCATTTTTCCTATTTTCTAGACATTCAGGGAGATGACTGGGTAAATGGAAAAGAGCTCTATTTGCAGTCACATCACAAATTTTCTCCTTTTTATGAGTAGCTAGCTCAGTACCTGACACATGCTGGTCACTGAGATGTTTGAATCAATCAAAGGAGTCGTTTTTGTGCTGGAAGGGAGCCCTAGGTCATCTGCTTTGTCTGTCCCCTACCCTCAAGGTAGGGGGTCTTATCCCCATTTTCAGATAAAGTTGCAGAGGCCCAGAGAGGTTAAATGTCTTGCTCAAGGCCACAGAGGGAGTTAGTGGCCAAGGACTAGAATGCAGGGCTCAAATCCACCCAGCCCTGAAGCCCCTCATCATCCATTGCTGTTAACGAAGCCCAGTGCGGAGCCCTGACTCTGTGCCAAGCCTGTGCTAAGCATGCAGTGCCATTGTTGTACTGAACTCTCAGCACCCCCTTATGAAGCAGTTACTGGTACTATTCCTACATTACAGTTGAGGAAACAGGCTCAGAGAAGTTATTCAAACAGCAAATAGCTATTTGGCTACTCCCTTTTGAAAATGTACTACACCCTGCCTCCAACCCCCTAGTTCCTGCATGGTGCAAATGGTGCTGCTAACCGAAAGGTTGAAAGTTCAAGTCCACCCAGAGGTGCCTCGGAAAAAGGCCTGGTGATCTACTTCTGAAAGATCAGCCATTGAAAACCCTATAGAGCACAGTTCTACTCTGACACACATGGGGTCTCTATGAATTGGAGTCCACTTGACAGCAACTGTCCCCACCACCACACACATGCACTTATCTTGTCTGTGAACATGGGGTGGATGAGGAATGATATGATTGATTTTTTGTTCCCCCTCTTCAGTAAATATTCCTTTTTCTTCTTCTACCCCATGGTCAGATCACCTGAACAGATTTCTTGGGAACCACCATGAACTCTGATCTGGGAAACTGTGGGTTGGTCCAGCTTCAGTAGGGGCAGTTGGGTGGCATGGAGATTGTTGGTCGGGAGGTCTGCTTCATGTGAGTTGAGAAACCTCCTTCTCTCGTGCCCTCAGTGTCCCATCTTTTTTGGGGGAGGGGGGAGTGGGTAGGACTTGGTCCCAAAGTCTTCTAGCTCAGAAACTCGATTTTAGGAAAACTGTCGGGGGTGGGGAGGAGGAGGGAGAACAGGAAGGGTTGAACTCTGGCACGGGAGGGGCTTTGGTAGCTGAGCATAGCCCAAGCTCTGATGTTGCAGCCCCCACACCTCCCAGACACTTCAGACTTCTGGTTCTAGTCCTGCCAATGTGGACTGTTTCTCCTAAGGCCAGCTTTCACGGAAACTGGAAACTTCAAGTAATCCCAGCGCTGCCTTGAGTCACCAGCCACCAAAACCTCTTCCCCATCTGGGCTAACTGTGAGCCACTCTGTCGGGGTGACTGCCAGCCTGGCTGAAGCCGGCATTCTCACCTGGAAAGCATCTGGGTTTTACCTTAGGGATTTTTTGACCATTCAAATGCGGACCTAGTGGGTTGAGGTCTCACTCTTCGTGAGGAGAAAGGGTCTGAGAACGTCTCTAGGTTCTGGCAAGGATCAGAGAGCAGGGCTTTGGGGACCTTGCGGTGGGTGCATATCCTTGATGGGAGAAGAGGGCAGTGAGTAGGTAGAGGGAGCTCAAAGTAGGGCATGCTTCAGCATTTTCCGAGGCCACTGTGCACCCTCTGTTCTCCAGGCCAGTGAGGAGGAAGAGTGGTCTTGGGGGCTGGAGTTGGCCCTGACTGAGTCCCATCTTGGCCACTCACTAGCTGTTGTACTTCAGGCAAGTAAGCCCCCTCTCTGAGCTCCAGTCCTTGTCTATGAATGGGGATAATAATATCAGCCCTACTTGCCTCACAGCTATTGTAAAGAGTAAATGATACATAAAGAATATGGGTAAACAGTTTGTAAATTAAATCACTCTACATAGGCACAGCAGTATAATAATTGCCATTACTAAGTACTACCTCAGGGAAATTCCGGTTTTGCCACAAAGAGGTGTCATCACCTAAATGCTTGTAAAGAAACATTCCCTGAACCACATCCAACCTTTCAGGAAGGTTACATAGACAACCTCTAAAATCCTTTTACTCCCCCCATCTCCCAATCCTTGAGCCATTTCTAAACTTTTCCCTTGCTCCACATAAGGTTTGTTAGAGCAAAAATAAACCTAGAGAAGACTGGATTTGCCCCCTCCTCGTCTACAGGTGAGGTTCAGTGAGTGCTGGCAGCCAGCTCACCTGCCCAGGGTTCTGTCTCAAACCACTCCACCCCCAAGTTAAGGCCTTAGATCCCACTGATTAAAACAAAGTTTTTCGGGGTGGGGGTGGGGGGAGAAACATCTTTAGTCTGTGACCAGCTGTTAGTTCCTTGCATGTCCATCTCTTGAACCATATTTGCTGTCTGCCCTGGAGTCTGCCAAACTCCCTCTCTTCTCTGCCTGAGGATCCTTGAACATCCCCATTCCCTTGTAGCAAAGTTACTTCTAGTACATTCCCATTGTGTGATAGCAAAGTTCTAGTACATTCCCATTGTGTGATAGCAGAGTTACTTGTATACATTTTGTCTCTTAATGGACAAAGACCGCACAGAGCCCAGTGCAGAGCTGAATTAAATTTTAGTGCTATTTTCTATTCTTGAGTAGCTTTTAAATGGGTCCCTGTTTACAGCCATTTCTCCCTGCCTTCTTCCTCCACACACACACCCCACCCCGACCCCCGCCACAAAAGCACAAAACTGCAGAGGTACTGACCCGGATTTCCAGCTCATCCTCTGTTCCTTCTGCCTGACTTCCATCTTCTGGGTGGAGCCAGCCTTCTGTCGCTCGGGGCTGCAGTTTGGCAGGTGGTTTCTTGGACTCCTTTCTCTGCTAGAAAGAGATGTTCTATTTAGGGCCCTAAGTAAGCCCCCATAGCCTTCCATAAGCAGAGTGATGGGCCTAGGGTCAGACCCACAGTTCTCCTTTGTGCTCTGGGAGAAGGCTAAAGCCCAGAGAGGCTGAGCCACTGCCCCAGGTCACACAGCTGGTTGCTAAGTGGCAGGGCTGGAACAAGATACTATTTTGTGGGGAAAGGAGGGGAGAGGGTTTCTTACCTGGACTTTCTGGTGTTTGGGGCTCAGGAAGCTGGATCCTGCCATGGCCAAGTCTACCCAGAGCACACTGAGGAGCAGCAGGCTGCAGATGGTCCCCGTGGAGAGCATGGCCTCAGCTAGGTAGGGGACTGAGGGACCTGGGGAGAGACGGACTCCAGGCAGCACACCCTCTGCTTACCCCATGCACCTCAGAATTCATTCAGGTAGGAGCCCAGCAGACTGAGAGGGGACTTTACGACCTGGAACTACTGAGTAGAAAGCACTCCCCACCCTGAGAAAGGGCTTCCTCTCCCCACCTTCCCAGGGTAGGAGAGAATCGAAGGGTATGTGTTCTATCTTTCCCAAGCCTGTTGGCGGCAGAATGTTTGGCAGTGGGAATTGACATGGTCACCTCAGTGTTGTTTGTCCCAGGTCCTGAGAACTTGTGCCAACTGAAGCTGAACAAGCAAGGTTGCTGGGGGACATAGCAGGGAATGGGGTGCAAGGGGTGGGGAGGTTGAGGTTATTCCTAAACTAAGCTTTGTCTCTGAGCAGCCAGACTGACCCAAGTTGTCCAAATTCCTCTTAGTTTAGATGGACCTCCTGAGGCTCAGAGAAGTTGAACCCATGACCAGCAGTCACAAAGTAATTTAAACCTGTAAACCAGGGCTTCCAACCTGTTTGGTCCAGTTCTACCCTGCTGAGAATTTGCATTTCTAACATGTTATCCATAAGAATCGCTTGGGGAGGTTAGAAGCCCTGCTGTAAATAAACACCAAGAGCCAGAGAGAACTTACCTGGGATTCCTGGCAGAGGTGGTGCCTGGTAACGGTGTGCTCCTTATATAGGAAGCCCAGTGTTTGTGCTAAACAAGCAGCCCCATCTCAGCCATCTGTGGGGGCTGATTTACATTCCTTGGGAACTACAAATGCTCACATACTCTGGATAGAAATCAACAATGGAGGTCAAAATGCCCTGAGAGATTGCTGGGTTGCCTTGGGGTGGCGAGCCTGCCCTAGCTGTCACTGGAAAACAGGGTAGAGAGGGCCACCAGGGCTGGCTTAGATGGGAAGGAGGAGAGTATGGCTCTGGGGTCTGGTCCTGGTTTTACTGCTGAGTGGCCTTCGCTAAGACTTTCCCCTTTCTGGAACTCCCTTTTTCCCTTGATAAAATGAGGTTACAGCCATTAAGACATCTCCCAAGACTTAAAGAGCACACACTACAGGGGAAGTCAGCACAACTGGACTAAACCAAAGCTAAGAAGTTTCCTGAACACAGTCAAACACTTTGAGGGACAGAATAGCAGGGGTAGGGGTCTGGGGACCATGCTTTCAGGAGACATCTAGGTCAATTGTCGTAACAAAGCTTATTAAGAAAATGTTCTGCATTCTACTTTGGTGAGTGGCATCTGGGGTCTTAAAAGCTCACAAGCGCCCATCTAAGATCCATCAATTGGTCCCAACCACCTGGAGTAAAGGAGAATGAAGAACACCAAAGACACAAGGAAAGTATTTGCCCTAGAGACAGAAAGGGTCACATAAACCACAGACTTCATCAGCCTGAGATCAGAAGAACTAGATGGTGCCCAGCTACCACCAATGACCGCCCTGACAGGGAACACAACAGAGAGTCCTGGATGGAGCAGGAGAAAGGTGGGGTACAGAACTCAAATTCTAGTAAGAAGACCAGACTTAACGGTCTGACCGAGACTGGAGGAGCCTCGGAAAGCATGGCCCCTGGATTCTCTATCAGCCCAGAACTAAAATAATTTCTGAGTCCAACTCTTCAGACAGGGATTGAACTGGACTGTGGGACATAAAGTGATACTTGTAAGGAGTGTGCCTTTTAGCTCAAGCAGATACAAGAGACTAAACTGGCAGCTTCTGTCCAGAGGTGAGATGGGAAGGTAGAGAGGGTTAGGAGCTGGTGAATGGACATGGGGAATCAGGGGTGGAAAGGAGGAGTGTGCTGTCACAGTATGGGGAGAGCAATTAGGGTCACATAACAATGTATGTATAAATATTTGTATGGGAAAAAAAAAAAAAAAAGATCTCCAAGACATTTTTAGTCCCAACACTCCTTAATTCTCTGTCGGCCAACGCTGGTCTAGCTTCCACAGACCTCTTGAGCACCTACTCTGAGCCAGGTGCTTGTGCCAAGTGCTTGCATGCTCATGTAATTTTCACATCACCCCAATGAGGCAAGATGAGAAACAGTGCTGGAGGAGTGGGGGCACATGCTCTTAACCATGCTGTGCCAGGTTTGGGATACTCCCAAACAGTGGCTAAGCTCCAGTCATTTCTTCTGGGTGGTGCCTGATGACTCTGTTCTTGACTTTAACATGCCAGCTTGCCTCACCTTCCCCAGCCAGGTTTTCGCCCCTGTTTAACGGGTGCCTGTTCTGAGAGGGAAACAGGTCTGGCCTGGCATTGTTCCCCATTAATTAACTGGCTTTAGGCAAGTTACTAACGATCTTTGCTTCAGGGCCTGCTTCACGGAATTGCTTTGAGGATTAATTGAGGTGATGGGCATGAAAGCCCTTTATAACCCACAGAGTGCCATGCAGATGACAACTATCTTTTTACCACATCTGCAGGGCTGGCAAGCATGTGCTGCTCCAGGTTACTACAGATGAAAAGTTAATTAGCATTATGGGGGAACTACTTACCTGGCGGGAGTGCCTTATCTAATTGGATGCCCAGACCGTGGCTCCCAAGGGCCACAGGAGTTGACTCCACAGAAGTTCTGGGAGTTCAGAGGAGGACCACACTTCAGGCAGGGGCTTGGGGCGGGGGATGTTAGGAAAGGCTTCTTGAAGGAGGCATATGGTGGCATTGGAGCAGGGCTTTGAAGGGAAGGCATTGCTGCGAACAGAGTGGCATGAGCAAAAGGTGAAGAGGAGGCGTGGAGGTAGTGTCTTTGGGGCATCTGTGAGGAGGCCGGGTGGCTTGAGAGGAGTGGGAACAGGGGTGTTGTAGCAGTGGGCTAGAGGGTTGTTTACAGTCAGGTTATGGATAGCCTTGCAAGCTGCCAGCCCGTGGAGTTGTTCTTTATTTACAGGAGGGAGGCCACTGCCAATTCTCCAGCAGAGGAGTGACACGGACATAGACTAATGAAAGAATTCAAACGACCTGGGAGGCTGAGCTGAACCCTTTGTTTCACTGCAACAAAAACTAATCCCAAAAGGGCCCCACTTTTTCCAAACCCATACAGCCCATCAGTGGCAATGCCAGGTTTCCTGACTCTTAGTACAGTGATCTCTGATAGACCACACTGCGACCACAATAAACACGGTGCCTTAGGAAAACCAATCTGCCCTAAGCAGGAAGGAATTGGAGCAGGGGAACCAGTTAGGAGGCTATTGAGGCAGTAGAAGAGCTGATGGCCAAATGACCACCCTGACTTAAAGATCGACTTCAGGGTAGATCGGACTCTTGTCAAAATTCTAGGAACAGTGGAGGCATAGGCTGTGCTGGACTGAGCCCTTAAGTGCAATGTGGGGGACTAAGTACCTTCTTCAACAAAAACAGCTCATCCACCAGCCTGTTGTGGTGGCTAAACTCCCACCTTTAGTCCCATCAGAGTGTAAGCATGTCACCAGGAGGCCTTTATAGCCCTTGTTGCCCACCTGAGCTTGGACCTCTTTCAGCCCCGGAACCCAGAGGGGCAAAAGGTGGAAAAGTGTGGAGAGAAATCTGGAGTCCCAGAGAAGAGTTGCAGCTTTTTCACAGTTCCATTGCACCCCCAACCTCCTTGCAAAAAACAAAACAAACAAACAAAAAAAAACACAACAACCCAGCTATGGTGACCAGGCACCTACCACGACATGAAGCCTCTGCTTATCCCTGACCCTGGAGGGCCCAGGAGGCAGGAGCTACCAGTGTTGATCTTAGATAACACCTCCAGCAAGTAAATACTCACTGCTCACTGTTATCTTTGGGGAACAGAAAGATGGCCTACAAGTTGGAAACCACCCTAACCACATACCACGGAGTCTAGGCTGGTTGAGAGAGGAAGGAAGGTCTGATGGGTGAACAAACCACCGAGGTAGGAAGAAGAGGCAGAAGGCACCCAGCCCTCCCTGCCTTGTAAGACACACAGAAAGTACCTCGCTGCCCACTCCAGTGGTAGAAGTGGGGGTGGACATGGGTTAGGAAAGGACTGGAGTATGGCTTATTTGCCCATCCATTGCTTTCAAGCCTAGATAATAACCAAGGCCAGTTTGGAACTCCGTGAGGGTGGGGATGCACGGGCTGTTCTGTCACCTTCTCAGAATTGAGTAGATGCTTAGTGAGTAAGTTTCTTCTTGATTGCTTGTTGGTTGGGTGACTTCCTTCCACCGCTGGTCCCTGAAAGGCCTGCCTTACTGAATGGATAAGAATGAGTCATCATTACTTAATCAATTGCTTATATGTAAAGTGTGCCTGAGAACAACTTATTATCTTTAGTGGTTATACACTTTCCACGGTAATTTCATTTGTACTGGTAATGTAGTTGGTTTAGCAGGCACTTTTTCCCATCAGTTTGGCTAAACCTTTGTTTGAATGAGGCAGATTCTGGGGTTATAGAAAGAGGTTTTATTCCTTGAGGAAGAGCTTTTCAGTGGAATTTCTTTTTTCTCCTGGTTCTGGCTGCCAACACTTGTAGACCAGCATTGTCCAACAGAAAAATAATGCTAGCCACAAATAAGAGCTGCGTTGTAGTTTTAGGTTTTCTAGTGGCCACATTAAAAACGCAAAAAGAAACAGATGAAATCAATTTTAATAATATATTAATTGAGCCTGACATATCCAAAATATTATCAGTTCAATATATAATCAATATAAAAGTCATTAATGGAATATTTGACTTTTTTTTTTTTTCATACTAAATCCTCAAAATCCAGGGTGTATTCTACTCTTACAGCACATCTCAGTTTGGACAAGCCGCAGGTCAAGTGCTCAGCAGCTACAGGTGGCTGGTGGCTACTGTGCTGGAGAGTGTAGTTCTAGATAACCATGGATGTCACTCTTGGCCATTGCTGTCTCTCCTCTGTCCAAGCCAAGCCTCTTCCACTGGGCGCCCTCTGATCCTGCTGGTCTCTTGGCATCCTAGGCCATCACCTTAACCGTTTGCCTCTTTTCTGTTTTCAGTCTCTTTCTTTTCAGCATGCCCAGGTTGCTAATCCTGGAGAAGTCCATTTTACACTAATCCCTCCTTACCCTCAAGCTACCACCTCCAAGGCTGGTTTCCTTTCCCTTTGCCTGTCTCTACTTCCTTACCGAGCGTGTCCTGACCCTTCAGAGCTCTAGAGCTCGACTCCTACCTCCACCACTGCGCTGAAACTGTTCGCACACAGTTGCTGGTAATAGAGCCATGGGACCTTAGGGTTGGGTGATGCCTTTAAGGCCATCTGATCCCAATCACCAGACACAGACCTGTGCTGGCCTGCATTAGATTCATGGGGAGAGCTTGTAAGAATGCAGATTTGTTAGGCTTCATCCTCCGACTCTGATCTATTAGGTATGGGGTGGTGGCCCCAGAATCTATTATTTTAACAAGTAATCCTAGCTGATTTTTTTTCCGATTATAAAATAATGTTTGCTTCCAGCAGAAAATTTAGACATATGGAGGACAAACACTTTGTCTCTGTGTATATATGTCGTTGTTAGGTGCTTTCGAGTTGATCCTGACTCATAGCGACCCCATGTGACAGAGTAAAACTGCCCGATAGGGTTTCCTAGGCTGTAATCTTTATGGGAGCAGATAGCCAGGTATATTCTCCTGTAGAGCTGCTGGGTGGGTTGGAATCACCAGTCTACTGGTTAGCAGCCAAGTGCACAAACATTGTACCACTGGGGCTTCTTTTATTTTTTTATTCTGGAAAATTTCAAACATACAAAAAAAAGTAGAATAATATAGTGAGTCTCCAAGTGTTCATCACCAGCTTCAACATTAACATCTTGTTTCATCCATCTTTCCCCTACACCATTTTCTTTTTCTGGAGTATTTTTAAAGCAAATCTCAGCAATTATATAATTTCATCCTCACAAATTTCATATGTATCTTTAACACGTAAAATACCTACAGTTGGTTTGAATCAGGATCAAAACAAAGTCCATGTTTGGCCGCTGTGTCTCTGAAGTCTCTTATAGTCTCTAACAGTTCCCTCTATCTCTTCCTCCTCTCTTTCATCCCAAATCATTTATGTTTAAAAAAAAAACCAAACAAACCAAAAAACAGATGATTTGTCCTGTAGTTTCCCACATTCTGGATTTTGTTGATTGCTTCTTGCGGTATTGTTTAACTTGTTCCTCTCTCCCCAGTGCTTTCTGTAAACTGGTAGTTAGAGCTAGAAACTTCAATTCAGATTCAACGACTTTTTTCCTTTTTTTCTTCTTTGGGGCAAAGATACTTCATTGTTGGTACTGTATATTCCTGCTTCATCACATTATAGGGCATATGATGTCTTGTTGTTCAACTTTTTACTCAGCTATGGGTTCAAGTGTTGCCACATGATCCATTCATTTTAAAGTTCCCCACTAACCTTTCACTTAGTGGATTTATCTGTCATGGATGACTGGTCTCTATATCCATTATTTATCAGGGATTACAAACGGTGATTTTCTAATTCTGTTGTTCCTTTCTATATTTATTAGCATTTCCTCCTCAGCAATTATTTTATTACCTTGATATACAGTTTTACTGGACAGGCAAGATAAAGACTTGCTTTTTTTCTATTTATTTACTAATGTTCAAAATAAAGTTGCTGTCCTAGCAACATCCAAAGTTTTTTATTTATTTATTTTTCTCCTATCATGAATTTATGGATTTTTTTTCAGGTTTAATTTCACTCTTTAAAACAATTTTTCCCACAGTTTGAAACATAATTTATAGCTTAACATTTATACTGTTAATCTCTATGATTTAATATTTTCTATTTTAAGAAAATATTCTGGAATCAAAAACTTTCCACAGGAATGTTCAGGATGGAGGGAGCTTTAAAAGTGCAAAATAAACCCTCTGTTTCAGAAAAATGGAAAGTTGGAGGAATAACCTATGAAGAGATTATTTTTGAGCAATTTAATTTACGTCTGAGTTTGTCACGGAAGCCCTGCTCTGGGTATTTTCTGTTTCTCCCTTTATTAAGAGGATTCCCACCCCTGACTTCTGACAAGCTGAGAAGTAGAGTTCTGAGGAACAGGTAAAAGAGGACACACATACTCCAGCAGCTACCCAGCTCCAAATTAGTTGAACATAAAGATTTTTGTATGTGATGTGTTTCAATCATAGTTGTTATTCTTTTCCATGCTTCCATATTCAACCATATTCCTGTATGCTTTTGACAAGACCTCACATTTTTTAATAGCTTCCTGGCTGTCTGTCCCAATAAGATGTCTTGGGCTGATCTGATGCATTTCCTGTCTCAGACCTGAAACCAATGATTTTTCTAAGAAGCTCTGGCTTCTATTAGTGAGAAATAGCTTTTAGAGACCATAGTCTGGGTGTTACCTACTAATACTATTGCTTCTAGGCCTTTTTAGTGCATAACCCGTTGCCATCAAGTCAATTCTGACTCATAGCGACCCTATAGGTCTGAGTAGAACCGTCCCATAGAGTTTCTAAGGAGCGACTCGTGGATTCGAACTGCTGACCTTTTGGTTAGCAGCCAAGCTCTTAACCATTGTGCCAACAGGGCTCCACTTTGCCATGGAGATTAGAAATATGTATTTTTTTAAAACAAAACAAAAAACCCAAACCCGTTGCCGTCGAGTTGATTCCCACTCATAGCAACCCCACAGGACAGAGTAGAACTGCCCCAAGGAGTGCCTGGTGGATTCGAACTGCTGACCTTTTGGTTAGCAGCCCTAGCTCTTAACCACTACACTACCAGGGTTTCCATGTATTTTTTTTAGAAAGAGAAAAATAAGTCATGAGTTCATACTATTTCAAGTTATAATTTAACATCATGGTGTTTCTACTTTTTGAGTTTTATACTTACATTTTCCCCCCTTTATCCTAATAATCTTGGTTTCTAATGGCATTAACAAAATTACCTCTATCTTGCTTTACCTACAATATCAACACACCAAAAACCCAAAACCAAACCAGTTGTCATCAAATTGATTCTGAATCATGGCAATCCCATGTGTGTCAGAGTAGAACTGTGACCTTTCTGAAGCAGATCGCCAGGCCTTTCTTCTGAGGCACCTCTGGGTGGGTTTGAATCACCAACCTTTCAGTCAGTAGTCATGACTTTAACTGTTGGCGCCACCGAGGGACTCCAACAATATCAACATAATACTTTAAAAAGAAAACAACAGCACTAAGATCACTACTAAGGAGCCTGGGTGGTGCAAGCAGTTTGCAATCAGTTGCTAACCCAAAGGTTGCCAGTTCAAGCCCACCCAGCGGCTCTGTGGAAGAAATGGCCTGGTAAACTCCTTCTGTAAAGATTATAGCCAAGAAAATCCTATAGAGCAGTTCTACTCTGTAATACATAGGGTTGCCATGAGTTGGGGCCTGACTCAACAACAACAAGATTACTACTAACTATAAAACTACTGAATGCAGCCTACTAGGAATGTATAATTAAAACACTTTTAAAGCCACTTGAATGTTTATTTTCTCAGTGTGGTTATGCTATGGGCTTGATATATAACTAATATAAAATTAGATTCATTTTTTTCCTGTTTCTAGTGATTTTTTCCCTTATGTTTTCATTTTACTTATTAATTATAAAAGAAGCCCTGGTAGCACAATGGTTAAGCACTGGGCTGCTAATCGAAAGGTCAGTGGTTCAAACTCACCAGCTACTCCAAGGGAGAAACATGTGGCAGTCTGCTTCCATAAAGATGACAGCCTTGGAAACCCTATGGGGCAGTTGTACTCTGTCCTGTAGGGTCGCTATGAGTCGGAATCAACTCCACCGCAGTGGTTTTTTTAAAAAAATTATTGCTATGTTTGAGCCCATTGCTGCAGCCACCATTGTCAATCCACCTTGTTGAGGGTCTTCCTCTCTTTCGCTGACTCTCTACCAAGCATGATGTTCTTTTTCAGGGACTGGTCCCTCCTGATAACATGTCCAAACCAGGTGAAATGACGTCTCCCCATCTTCCCTTCTAAGGAGCATTCAGGCTGTACTTCTTCCAAGATAGATTCGTTCGTTCTTTTGGCAGTCCGTGGTATATTCAGTATTCTTCACCAACACCATAATAAAACATTTACAGGGTTCCAAAATCAAAGTTATAAAACAATGTACATTCAGAGGATCTAGCCCCCTCCACCTTGTTCCTTCTTTTCCCCTATAGGTAACTATATTTATTAGTTTTGAATTTATCTTTCTATTGTTTCTAATGCTTACTTTTAAACTAATACCTTTAAATAAAACCCTGGTCTCTTTTTCAGATATCCTTTACAGGTTCCCCTCTATGAGCAATTTTGATATTAGCTGATAATCTTTTTTTCACTGCTCCTTCTGTTTCTCAGTATCTCATTTAAAATATCTTTTTATTTCCAGCTAATACGTATAAGATGATCAGTGAGCTTATTCTACTTTTTATGCATTCTCCCTCTTTCCCTCCATTGATGATAGTTGTATTATGTCTTCATTGCTAGAGCATATAAAATTGCACATTATTAAGTCCTATTTATCCCCATCATTTAGCCTATTTATCCCCATCATTTGATTCTATAGTTAAATGTATCAATGCTCACCATTGGTCCCTATGACAAAGCTTTTCCAATTACTTTTTTTGTTG